AGACTCAAGAAGCATGAGGATAAAAATAAGATTAAAGAAATGGACCAACCTGGAAAGTGTTCTTAAACATATTAGCTCATTAGCATCCCAAATTGATACAAGTGCATCGGCACTTCCAACAGCGAAGTAATCGCCATTAGGGGAAAAATGGAAGCACATAGCATTCACTGGATGAGCATGTAATGTCAGCTCCCGCTTCATATCTCCAGGCTTACCGCTAAAATGAGTAGTATAGCATAAAATTAAGGCAACCTAATTATAAAGGAGCATGTTAAAAATATGAAGGTGTAGGAGTATTATTTTGCAAATGCAAAGGTACGCACGTGTAAATTAGGAGACCACCAGCCCCAGTTGTAAGAAAGAATGAGTCACCAGAGGGTCGCCACTCGAATTCATTTATTTCACAGTTAAACTGCTCGTGTTGGATAACTTTAAGGCCAGCGCGAACATCCAACCATGAAACCTAAGTGCGATCCATTTAGATATTCGGAGACAAAGCGAGTTAAAATATATGTAATATTGATCTACCAGGTCTCCTTTATTACCAACTGCAATTGTTCTTCCATTCGGGGACCAGGCAACGTTAATATTTTCACCTTTAAGCTGAGCAGTGACAGGGCCCTTTTTCATCCGACAATCCCAGAGACGAACTACACCATCCGCACCAACTGAAACTAGAGTATCATAGCTACTGGGATGCCAGGCAAGTTGATCGACGCTCTCTGTATGCCCACGCAAGGTTTGAATCTTTGACTACAAAATAAGCCATAAAAGGTACATACCAATCGCGAAGACTCGAGCGAAAAAATGCTGATCATCTTGTCTGAGCATCCTGATGCCAATTTCGACCCTTCGCAATTCCATCTGAGAGTGTGGATTTTGGACTCGTGTCCAGGAAATTCTTTAACAACACCATTTTTGAATTCATTGCGTAGATTGAACAAATCATCCCGTGCCATTCAAATTTGCATGCGTCCGCAGAGAAGATTCAAAGTGTATAAAAAAAATAATAATTTGTCTGGTATAGTACTAAGGTGCTTTTAAATTTTAATTTTTTCTAGAAGACAACATTTGTTCTTAAATTTTAACATGGCAAAGATTCCCTCATGAGTTATTATGCTACTATAGTAATATGAAATGTATTATGGTAGTCTCGAAACTCTACTGAAATACTATATTAATGCACTCAAGATGCTGCTATTTTTGACGGAAATCCACAATTTTGATTTTATTATAGTGGTTACAGCTAAGAGGTATTGTAGAAGGCAAAATTTAAGAAATAACGGTGTATATTAAGCAAATATACATGTAAAGCAATTTGAAGAGTCTTAAAAACCTACTTGTAAATGAATCTTAAGAGTTTTTATATTTTAAATATGTCCCTATGTGGTGAAAACATTTTGAACCGATCAGGAAATTGACAAGGTTTGAAAATATCAATTTTTGTAAAATATTTGTTATGCAAACCGACCTGAGTTAATTTATACAAGAAAAGTTGGGTTTCGAGGAATCTCTTGTTTCATAATTGTTGAGCTTACTTCCATTTCGAGTAAAAGT